TTGGTGATGAGATTTAAGATCCTACCTTGAATATCAGTATCCTTATGATTTTAAGTACGCCTTGTTGATGAATGCTAAATAGCAGAAAATCCAGGTTGAGGATATCTCAGAAATTATCTCCAATCAATTTACACCCCAGTTCATTATATTGATATTTAATTGTCATTACTATTCATATTTAAAAAAACAAATTCATAGAACGATAGTTTATTACAATAGTAAACAATGTTTACCTCTCAGTTAACAATCAGGACTACAGTTAAATGGTCATGGTCATTATTTACTACTATTTATTATAACAATTTTCAAAGTAAAAATAACCCTGATATTTAAACAGTTGTTGATTTCAATGTTGTTTTCTATCCAAATAAGGTCTCTAATTCACTTTTACATAATAAAAATTTGTTTTTGTTTTCTTTTAAAGTAAAAACTTGAACATTATCAGGATAACTTAAACATTTTCATAGGATGGGACATATTCCAGTTTGTTTTAATATATTACTATCCTATTTTCGTATAATTCTATTTTATAATTCCTCTTATAATTCCCAATTTTGACTTATTTCACTTCAGTTTAACTTATTAATTGTATATTGTATCTTATTCAGAATATTTCATGAGTTGGATTCATTTCATCGACTTTACTTACTTACGCCTGTTACTCCCAATGGAGCATAGGCCACCGATAAGCATTCTACAACCCAGGTTGTCCTGGGCATTCCTTTCTAGTTCCATGCAACTGTTGCTCATTCTTCTCATGCTTGTCTCCATTTCTCGGCGTAATGTGTTCTTTAACCTTCCTCTCCCTCTTCGATCTTGAGGATTCCAGGTGAGGGCTTGCCTTGTGACACAGTTGAGTGCTTTCCTCAAAGTGTGTGCTATCCACTTCCAGCACTTCTTCCTGATTCCTTCCTCATTTAATTGACTTTAAATTCAATAAAATCTGGTTCCTATTGTAAATTTGTGCATTTTTAAATAAATTAGGCATTATTTAATTGTTTGACACCGTCTATACATTTAAAGCTTAATGATTAGCTAAACTATACAAACTATTTGGTCGTTCTAAGAGAAGATGGATGGTGGCCAGCGATGGAATCCAGTTTGATGCGCGTTTCATCCTATTTGGGACTCGTCAGCCAGATGTACCTACCTCCCACAGTTGATGATAACTCCGGGACTCGAACCTAATACTGTTCACTTCAAACGCTATCACGTTTTCCACTAGCTACTAGGTTAATGAACAGATTCAAATAAACAATACAAAAATGAATTCAAGCTTATCCCGTTACAAAAGCTAGTGGCTATCGGGACTCAGAAATCAAGTAGACAACGCGATGACGTTTGAAGCAAACCGTATTGGGTACGAGTCCCGGAGTCCAGGTACACCCAGTTCACCAGCCCCAAATAGGACGAAACGCGTGTTCTGTATTCCATTACTAAACACCATCCATCGCTGTTCATAGTGCTTGTAACTTAAGACATTATCGAGGCAATCCGCACAAGATACACATGTACCAATAAGAGACTGATCAATCACAGTCCTAAACATCAATGGGAAGATTCAAACAAACAATATAAAAATGAACTATTTTGAGATTATTTTTAAATCTCTTTTACTCTATATACTGAATTCATGTTTAAATTGTAATTATTATATTTTTCTTTTTCCTACATGTTATGTTTGTGCATGTATGACATAAAGAGAATGGAACTTTATGGATCATTTTATAATCTTCGCTATTTTATTGTTGATCAGTAAGTAATTATCTAACAAGTTATACTATGCTGACTAAAATATTTTCCGAAAGATTTACCGTTACAAAGTTTAATAGGTTAGAAGTAAAGGACTGATTTCATGAACAAACTGTCCATTATTAGCCATATTCTATCTATTCTATGAAAACTTGTGACATAATAGCTATATCAAGGCAATTCGCATAGAATACATATATACCAAATAAGACTGACCAAACTTTAGTCAAAAATATCAACTACGGGATAATTCTGAGACTATGATAAATTGAATGAAGGCAAGAAGTGTTTGTTGAGTTTTCGAAAGATCTTGGAGTTATATTGCAGGAAAATCATACTTTATAATTGAACATGGCATTCCATTCATATATGATCAACTCTGGATCAAAGGTCATCGATTTATCAAAGAGCGTATCATCAATCACCAGTAAATTAGTTTATATTAATGACAATGCTAAATTTATTCCTCAGTCTTCTATATTCAATGAATCATTATTCGCAAATATGAACAAGGTATATAATTCATACATCAGTATATCATTAAAAATATGGTTTTATTTTATTTGAACTAAATATATTTTCACTTGTTGACCATCAGAAACTAAGTAGATACACATAGTTCCCTTTATTATCTTAAAGAGAGCAAGAACGAAAATTAGTGCAGAGAATTATCAATCATGATCATCATCTTCTTCTTTAGGAGATTTCTGAGTACTTTTATGATTCTTTTATCGGTTAGATCAGTTAAGTTTTTATTAAGTTTATCTAAGTTGAATCTCATATGGTCACTTAAAATGCACATCATCTTAGAGATATAATCTATTGTGTTCATTAGAACAACACTTGAACCTTTATTTGAACATAATATCATTATATCATCACTTCGTTTGATATTTCGTGATGCTGTTATACTGTTATGCTGTCTTTAAGAAACTAATTAACTTTTCTTCTTTTTACATTTTTAAACTAATTAACATAACCAATGTCATCAGTCAACTAAGAATACACATAACGGAAACACTTTAGAAAAGATTTTTTAAAAAAAATATTCATATTTGGCTAGTTCAATTGTTAATTAAGTTATCAATGTATCACATATTGCTTGGAGCTATATCAGTTCTTAATAACTTCGATATAGGCTATGTATGTGAATTATTCAAAGTATTCAAAATCAATCTGACAGAAGTATAATACAAAGCTGTTTTCATTATGGGGTTGTGGAGATTGTAAAGTTTTTGATTGACATCATGTTGTTAGATCATTATTGAAAACCTGGAAGCAGTGAGCGACCGTTTCGTCCTAATATGAGACTCCTCAACAGTGCGTATCCATGATCCCCCTTACGAAATTCGAACCATAATATAACGAATCGACCGTCTAGTGCTTACATGTTTTCAATGGTGGTCTAACATCAATCAGTTCATGATCTTAATGAAAAACAATTTTGTTTACTGATTCAAACTTTAGATTCAGGTTTACTATTAGAATGAAGTAAGCAGAATCAGATTTATCACTTTCCTCAAATAAATATATTCATTTATTATCCTAAACAATCGATTAATTCAGCCAATTATACGCACACAAATATGAACATACACATACCCTAATTATTAAGTACATAAGATTAATTCCCAAATGATCAATAAACTTCTGTGCATAACTCTGATGAAGATAATTAAAAATCAACACTGTTATTTACTTGTTAGAAAAGAAAAAAAGGTAGAAAAAATGAAAAAGAAAGAAAAAGAAAGAAAAATTCAATAGTGACATCAACAATACTACAATAAGGCATATGATTGAACTATACAGACAAATAAACAAGCATTGACACTAGATTATACCAAGAGTAAAAAATTCATCATTTTACCATAAAAAAAAAACAAAAAAAGAAGAGCAAAGAAAATTCGAATCAAAGTAAACATGAAATAAGTCGATGAGATTAGCATAAGAATTCTGGAATATCTTTATTTATACAATGCACCTTATAATAATAATAATAATAATAATATTGGTAATATAAAATAGATTACAATATTTTTCTAATGAATAAAAATGTTTTGTACCCCTTTCCTCTTGTTGAGATATTTGACAGTAGATGAACTAATAAATCAATTTGACAAGTTTGACAGGCTCTGACTGGACAACTAATTTGACTGTTTCATGTTTATTTACTTGTCTCTATATTATTTGATAGGGGTAGAGAATGTGTATTATGTGCTGAGTGAAAAATATTTTTATGTATATTTATGCTTGTATAATCATATAATGTGTAGAGAAATATATAAACAGATGAATAGATGAATATTATATATATATATATATATATATATATATATATATATATATATACTTTACATTTATTCTGAAATTTACTTCTGCAAAGATATATATATATATATATTCTTACATTTAACATAATTTATTAGATAGAAACAACTAGATATGCATCATCCAATATGATGTATGTATTACATTCAAGTATAGAGAGAGATGACAGTATACTGGATAAATAACATAATATGATTGGGAAATATTCACATTTTATCTGAAGTCTGTTGTAAAAAAAACAATTTAATCATGAGAAATTTAGTTTAATGTTATGTATTGTAATCTTGTTTATATATATATATATATATATATATATATATATATATATATATATATATATATATATATATAGTAGTTGTAATTGTGATCAAACAACGACACAATTGTTGGATGTCCGTCCTCTAGACTATGGCTCAGTTCAGTTTTTATGCGTATTTATTTACTTAACATGGTCACACATTTTCCGTGAGCCATCTACACCAATAAACTATCCAACTATGAGAATTCACTACCTGGGTCTTCAATGCAATCTAGTGACTCATACTTATTTTTTTCATGAAGGAAAAAGAATGACTGTAGATACAAAACTTTATGCTTATTTAGGATAGATCATAATTTGCATAGACAAATTACATTTTAATTTGTACTTCATTGTTGTCAAAGAAATGTTAAGGCTCTTTTTAACACACCTATAAACGGTTTATTTTTAAAGTCCTTTTTAAAACCACCGTAGAGGTGAAAAAATTTGTCGATAGAGCCATAGATTATCGTTTGAAGTAAGTAAATAAATTTTTTAATAGAATGTGCTTGGCTAAATAAATGACAAATAACCGATTACCAACATTTTTATTTAAACGAAAATGTTTAACTACTTGTCAGTAGTACAATAATTATAAGAACATTTTGTTGTTTATTTGTAGGTTAGATACGATAGCTAAACTTTTACATTCACATCCATTAACTCTGTCTGGTAATTCACGGAGTTTATATAATCCAATCATTGAAATCTATGCTGAAAATAATCAATCACCATCTATTGCAATGAATTCAGAAACTATGATACCATGGAATAATGTACCAGGATTAAATTATCAGAATGAAAGACAAATTGTTCCGTATGTGAACCATGAAATTCATGCTGGTTCTAGTAACAATAATAATGAAAACCATCCATCAGTTTATGGATGGAGACGACAGATTTTCGATGTAAGTTAGTTTAATTTTAAATTGTCTTTTATGATGTGATATTTTAAATAAAACAGCGAACATTTAGTATAATACTTATACCCAAATCCAACGACCGAAGTAAACTTTCGAGGTGAAACTTCTTTCTTTTTGTTAGCTGCTGTAAATAGCATGAAAAACTTCAGTTCTATGTTTATTTCAAGTGTGAACTGATGTATTTTGAAAGAAAACCTATTTGAATGTTTAATTTCAAATGTTTGGTTTAGATTAGTCAAATTAAGCACCGTTAGTTTGAAATAAGTAGGAAATGAGTTTTCTCCAGAATTTAGATGGGCTTTACTTATAAAATATAAATATGAACCTAAAGAGTCGAAAAAACTATAAGTTGAATCATTCTACTTGGTTGTTATGATTCACCCCTTGTAACTAAGACATTCAATGGTGATGGGTTAATGATAGTTTTGTACAACTTCGTCCTAGAGTCTTGATCAAAATAAATGGATGATAGTGACTAAGCGGAGAGACTGAAATTTTACATTGGAAAATGCCTTACATGGAATTTTCGTATATTAGGATCATGTACACTGACAATGTATTAAATATTGTTGTGAGATAGTAACTCACTGATGACAATGGTGAACTTCTCGCTCAATTTTGTTGATCTGTTGAAGTTAGACATTAACACCTCTGGATACCAGCTCAGTGGTCTAGAGGTTAACCGTTCGCGCGTGACCGACAGTTACTAGGTTCGAATCTCGCGGGTTGAGGTCGTGGACGTGCACTACCGAGGAGTCCCAAAATAGGACGAAACGGCCTTCCAGTGCTTCCAGGTATTCCATGATGGTCTAACTTCAATTAACTCATGATCTCAACTATTAAATTACTAAATATCTGTTAATCTCCAATTAATTTACTGATAAATGGTAAATAGCTAAATTGAAAACTTCAGCGAAAATTTACACCAGTTCTAGATTTTTGTTGATTTGATTTAAAACGTTTTCATATTAACCAAGTTCTCGAATCTAACAAACTAAAGAATATAACTGGGCCACTGTAATTATTATGTAATATATGAGCTTGATTTAATTGTTAACAAACCAATGTTGATAATATCTTCCTAACAAGTTTATAAATCTACCTTTTTTATTTTATCTATAGCCTATCTCACATAATACAGCATGGATAGAGCATCACCTCAGACAACGTATACAACGTTACAAACAATGGTTATCACCAAAACAATGGAAACAATTCTTAACAGATGATTCTACAACTATTGGTAGTCGAATGAACGCACCGGCTAAATTTAATCTTGCTTTATTTGAAGCTGCAGTGGTTGGTGTAAGACGTGCAGTAGCTGAATGTCGTTATCAGTTTCGGCATGAAAGATGGAATTGTAGTCAAGTGCTTGATGATGAAACTGCTTTATTTGGAAATATTTTATTGAAAGGTAAGAATAGTATTTTTAATTTAAATTTGATATATACAAGATGTTATGTAATTAAGTTACTATTTATGAAACTCATTACTGTTACTCTGAATCGGTTCTGTAAATGTTTCACCATAAGAAAGAATTTTCTTCATCTGTTGTCTCATCAATAAATAACTTAGTAGGCAGTAAGTGATGTCCGGTTTTCTCTGATTCTTAGTTATTTCTCAAATTATACAAACTAATGATAGAAACTAAATTCACAATTCATGATATTTTCATTACTGTTATTATCTTAACTGGCAATGAATTTCAATATTTTGAACGTATCTGTTAATCTTTTACCTAGGTAAATTGTTATTAGTAAAAGGATTTGTGGAGATTGTAGTATTATCACAATTGAAATCACAAGTTGATCTAAGTTAGACCACCCTCAAAAGACCCGAAAGTACTGGACGACCGTTTATCCTAGTATGGGATTCCTCAACAATGCATATGCACGACCCTGAACGCGGGACTCGAACCTAGGACCTTCGGTTACGCGCGAACGCTTAATCTCTAAACCACTGAATTATTGAACTTACATAGTCTGATAATACAGTACATTTTTAATATTTTTCTAACAATACATTTGATTTATATGTGATTTGTTCAGTAACATCCTAGATATTAAGATTGTTTCCTAGTTTATGGACATAACTATTCCTGTAGCAATAACGTCAATTAGAAACAGATGATTATTTAAACATATGAATCCTATTAAAATGGACTGGAAATGATATTATTTTCGTTATAGATCACGATGGAGATTAATAAATAGATGGATAAACGATTCATGATTAAATCTTTATTAAAACTTTGGGAAAACTCAGAAAACACAAAATCGTGAGAGATATGTATAGGGATAACTCTCTAAAGGAAATAGCTCTTTAGAGTAAGTTAAACTATTTAGTGAAAGCTATAAATACTGTTAGGATACGACAAAACTTAGAATACCATCGATAAGATGGTTGAAAATCTTAACCTCAGGAAAATATAAAAGTTGCGTGCACAAAATAAATGGAGTTTGAACAGTTTAACTGTCATTGAATAGAAGTAATCTGGAATAAATAAGATTGATATATCTGTATGTTTGTAAGTTCAAGTTATTATAATCTCAGTTTGTGTAGTATTAATTAAACATACTACTCAGATAATTTAATACGTAACAGATTATCAGTGGGTAACGGTTCATTGTTTTATAATTTCTAAAATATCTTTGTTATATCAGATTGTGAAGGAGTATTTCCATCTCGAAAACAAAAGATCATTTTATCCGAATAGATTTGAAATCAATCAGTAGGATCTTTAGAAAGCCTCTTAATCGATAAAATTATCATATCAGTAAAAAGTAAGATTTCACATTTAATCAAGTAAAAATCATATGGAACTGCAAATATATTAGAATTGGGGTTTGGTATAATTAACCATTTCATTTAAAAGTAGACATTTGAAGGTACTCAGTTAAATAGTAATGTCTGTGATTGTATCATTGGGTGATGAGAGTTTGTTAAAAATTGCTAAGACAACTAGCTAATGAATGCCAACAAACACCAACAATTTACACTTTAGAAATATTTCTCTACCGAAATCTTGGTTTCCTTGACACTTAAAGTTTACATTCTGCAGGATTCTGATCTAAGTTATTTAGCACATCAGTAAATGGATAGTGTCACCATTAAGTTAGTTGAACTATAACCAGTTATCAGTAAGACTGAATTTTATACACTTAAATTCATCATTAGACATCAATCAATCGTATTTTATGGTTTTACCGGTGTTTAAAATCTATTGATCAAATCAAATTGAGTTGATTAATCGATCAATGTTAGGTCACCATTGAAAACCTGGAAGCATTGAACGGTCGTTTCATCCTAGTATGGGACCCCACAGAAGTGCGCATTCACGATCCCACCAGTGGGATTCGAACCTAGGAGCTTCGATCTCGCATGAGAACAGTTAATCCACAGACCATTGAGCCGGCATCTAGCGGTGTTAGTGTCTAACTTTAACCAATCGATGAAATTGAGCGACATATCCACCATTGACTTCAGTGAGTTGCTATCTCACAACAGAGCCGGTTGAACTCCAATGGTCACGGCTTCTCACTAGAACTCCAGGAAATACTTCTTGAAGTCAGTAATTAGTGAGCACATGATGATTATTAAAAAAACGGTCATTCAGTGCTTCTTGGTTTTTCATGATGATCTAGCTTTAATTGACTCGTGAATTCAACTATTAAATTACTACAATCTCCACTAAACCCCTTTCTGATAATTTATTTCAGTTAGTTCTATGACTCCATGATTCTCTTTTTTAAATGTTTAGTAAAATTTACAGAAACCTATTTCTTAAATAACTGAAAGAAATCATAGTAATTACCTGAAGTTTGGAGTGAATTAATACAGATTTACAATCCACCACTATCATATTTTATCTTAAGGTATACCACAAACTGCATTTATTTATTCAATTATCAATGCTGGAATAGTTCAATCTGTAGCTGAAGCATGTTTAAATCAAATCGATAATTGTCCATGTAATAATCGTGGTAGACAAGAACCATTTTCAGACTGGCAGTGGCAAGGATGTGATCATAATATTCATTATGGTAGAAGATTTTCTCGACGTTTACTCGATACAATGGAACGTGGTTCACATATAAGATTTGAAATGAATTTACATAATAATGGTGTTGGTCGACAAGTAAGTTTCAAAATGAAGTTATCAATTACTGAATTGTCATGTTCGCCATATATTTTTTCCCAATATATATGCAGAATAATAGTATTTATGAGACTAATTCATTGTATAGACATTTAGTATATCAGTGGCTAAAGAAGCCACTGAAAGGAAGCAACACTACGCAATAATTTAAGGATTTAACAAGAGACTCTATAAGGTGATTCTGATCGTTTGGTAGGATAACTTAACTAACTAAACAGATTATAGTAAAGATACTTGATTTGATACTTTAACCTAGTGGGTACATAAACCACAGGTATTCTAACATTAATTGTGGATCTTGGATGCTCACTGCTGAGGAGTCCTATGCTAGGAAGAAACGGCCGTCCAGTGCGTCCATGTTTTCCATGGTGGTCTAGCTTTAATCGACTCATGAATTCAATTATTAAATTAATTGTAATGTTTGAAGTTTTCAATGCTGTAATGAATCAGAGACGCATATATATAACCTCATTATGCTGTGATATTTTTGAAGAGCTATTCCTTTATACTTTCTATGGAAAAACGAACGAAAACAAGAGTATCCAGCTAGATCTATTGAACTTTGCATTTGAGGTTGATGCGATTTTTTTTAATAACAGAGACATGCAGAAAATGAAATTTCAAATCTTGCTTCTGAAATAACACAGAAAGGTGTTGACTTAATGATTCAAAACTATTTTCTTTTATAAATACATACTCTCCCATCAAAATGTTAACAATTCATAGAATTTTAATCACATAGAACAAAAAATGGATGGTGGCTAGCAGTGGAATCCAGGACGCCCATTTCATCCGATTTGGGACTCGGACCCAATACCGCTCGCTTTAGACGCCATCACGTTTTCCATGTAGCTACTGATTCAGGATAGCCACTAGCATGTGTAATGGGGTGGAGTTTAAATTTACTTGGATTTGTTGGCTTGTATTTTCTCATTGATGTTTATGACTGCAACTGATCAGTCTCTTATTAGCATATGTGCATACTGTAAGTATTGCCTCGATATTGCCTTAATTCATAAGCTTTATAAGCAATGATGGATGGTGGTTTGAAGTGCACGGTTGTTGTGCCCCGATAATCATAATGAATGGTAACTTTTGGGATCCATTTATAGATCAATATTATACGTATTTTTTATCGTATAATTGTTATGTAACTAAACTATTCATATTCATGTCCCTCTTATCATAAGCGTTATTTTAACCTATGAACTATTATTCTACGATTTACCATTCTTGAATTATGCCCTGTCTATTAATCACTACCTCCCACATTTTCAGTCACATTTGGCTAAATCTTGTACAAATGTTATTTTCCATTTTATGGTAGGATGTAGTCTGTTTGATTGGTATGTAAACCTAGTATGTTTGAAATAAACGATTCATACCGCAGAGGCTGAGATTGGTGTTCTGGACTTTACTGTTTGGGCTAGGCGGAAAGCAGGACCAATAAGGACTCCAGACTGCTCGCACGTGTTTTACGCGTCATTGGTCTGATCGATAATCCACTGTTCTCCAATTGGCGATATCATTACGTTATACGTCAATGGGAAAATACATGCAAACAATACCAAATAAATTTCACATAGAACAAACTTTGTTCACATTAACTGAATGTTTTTTCGAACAAATAAATTTTGGCTAGTAGTGAAATCCAGGATGTAGGTTTTAACCTCTTTAGGACAAATCAGTTAAATATACCTGGATCCCAGAGTTAACCTTTATATTGAGACAAGGTTACGGGATTCATCATTTCAGTGCTCACTAAAGTTCAGATGAGAAGTCAGAAATGAAATAAATGATGTCAATAAACTCTATCAGTATCAGATAATTCTTTCAACTCATTTTACTTCTATTTTTCTGTTATTATTATTAAACATTTATCACCTTCCAGTTGTTTAAATTTATCCAAATACCTACACAGTTTTAACTTAAACTTAGTTTTGTTTTATCTTTAGTTAGTTATTAAAAATATGGAACGTTACTGTCGATGCCATGGAACAAGTGGATCGTGTACCTTAAGAACCTGTTATCGAAGAACACCACGAATGAGAACACTTGGAACTTTGTTAAAACATATATATGATCATGATTTAGTACAAGTTAAATTAGGTGAGATATAATAGGTATTTATTGTTTATGTAAATCAGCATTCATGAATAGGAAACTAGTTATAGTTTATCAAAAGGAAATTTAACTAATGAAAAGATCTGAATAAATAATCTAAGCATCATCAGACTAACTCTCTGACAATTTAGTTGTATAACCTAAATACTGACCAGTCTTTCATATTACTACAACTACAGACATCATATCTGATTGGTGATAGTTTGTTGGCGCGAGATAATTGTCAACTTGATGAATGTGGATGATAAAATACTCCAACGTTTTAAGTATGATTTATCAGTAATTAAGGAAAATTTGGAAAAAGAATTAGTAAGAATGATAGATTAAGAATAGAATATAGGATGGGGTGTTAAAGCTATGATAGAATATGAGTGATTGAACCTGTTAGCTTTGTACATACAGATGGGGTTTGGATTAGTGAATTGCTAAGGCTTTTTCTGTACATAAGTTTTTAATTTGCATTGTCTTACAGCCAAATTATTTGATTTTTATGGATGACTTTGAAAGCGGTTTCTTGTGGAGCTATGTGACTGTAATTTACGAGATGTTTCAGTATTGAACTGCTACCTAACTTCATGAATTCTTTCGACAGCCGGGAAGGACGATAATTGGGAAAACTTTTTATTCGTAATTGTTCTTAATTCTACATTACTGACACAACAGGTGCACTAAATGACAATGAATAAAATTACTAGTGATAGCAATATTTTAAATAATTAAGCTTAGTTAGATTATCGTCAAGTTCCCATCACATATAGTTATATGTTTATCCAGAAGTCAAACAATCATAATCAATATTTTGATGCGAATATTTTGGCTAATAAGACATCACAGTTTTCATGAAGCGATTATAGAAGTCCACTTAATTTGTAGATGGTATTTGTCATGGATCAGCCTCAGTCGAAGTACCATTGAAAACCATAGAATATTAGATATTAGTCTTGTCTTAGTCTGGAACTCTTCAGAAGTGCACATCTATGATGTCTTCAGGGAGCAGAGCCCATGACTTTTACGTATAACGGCGAGTACATAAACATTAGGCCATTTTGTGTTTGTAATACTCCGGTTTAAAAAATTGAAAAAAGAAATTTTCTATAGTTCATTCAGCATATGAAAACATGTCAACAGAGATGGAAGATTTGTCATTATGAGTGTTGAAGACAGTCCTATAATCTTCAGTCCAAACCAATCTGGTCTATCCATAGATAAATACTTTTGATTATTAAACTGGATATATAACAACTAGAAGTTGTCCACAATAGTCGTAGCAAAGCAATCTACAGTTTAAACTGTTTATTAATGTTATAAACAAATAAAAATAATATATTTGTAATATCACAATGAGTAGAATAATTTCATCTCTAAATTTTCTGACGTTTCGTGACTCAGTGTAAGCCACTACTTCAAACAACAAATAAACATATTAAATGAATTCAACCATTAAATTACTACAATTTGCACAAACCCTCATTCTGATAGAAATCAAATTGAACCAAGTTTAAATTGTACAAGGGAACGAAGCAAGAATATTTGGTGAGATCAACTAAGAAACAGATCTGACCAAGTCGATTTCATGTTATTCCGGTCAAGGTGATTTAAGTGAGACATGTTTGCATATTTGTGTGTGTTTGTGTATGTATATATGTATGTTTGTATGTGAAGGGATGAAACGTGTAACATTTGTGGTGTGAAGGGATAAAGATGAATTTGTGTTTGATAATGGTGTGAGATGTGAATAGAATCAAACATAGTAGTTCGGACAGATGGTCCAATAGGATTGATAATGAGGTGTTTTTTTTCTATTGAGGGCAGTAGGATTAAACAATAAATAGAAAGCTGCATATACTCACCATTCTTTGTGGTTCGAGAATCCTCTGTGTATTATTTTGATGTCTTTAATATCTACTTGATTGTTATTGAAAATGACATGAACTGTTATTGCCGAATTAATTTTGAGTGTTTCCAGTTCTGTGGGAATATTTGTTGATTTTTTTGTGTACGTAAGATTCTCTTTGGTTCGAGTTAATATTTCACGAGATGACTGTTGAATATAGAATTCAACACAATCGACACATCCTAATTTATAGACACAATTCTGTGTTGACATAAGGCGGATTTTTTTCCTTTAAGCGAAGTAAAATGTTCCGAAGGAATTTCGTTGTTTTGTAATCTACTTTAATTTTCTGTTGTTTTAAGACTCATTGGAGTTCTTCTGTCGTACCATGGCGGTATAGTAAGACTATAGTACCAATCCATGATATTTCATTCGGATCATCATTTAGCTGTAAAATGTCTCACTCTGTTGCACTTTTAATGATCATCATAGGAAAATTATGAAATTGTAAGAAGTTATTCGTGTGCTTTCGTTCCTTATATCTGTCCTCTTCAGATGTAATAATCTTGTTTGCTCTTTGAAATAGATTTAGGGCTGGGGAGATTTTTGCACTGAATGAATCTGCTGAATTGACGTCGACATAACAATTTCAGTGAGTTGGATTTCGGTAGATAGTTAAATTTAGTGCTCCATCTAGATTTCTTTTAGCAAACCTACTTAAAATATGGTAGTTCACCGTATTCATTTTCATTCTCGTATGTAAATTTAATATGAGATGAGAGTGTTTTGATTAGTTCAGAAAAAGGAATTAAGTGAGTCTTTTTTCATGACGACATGCATATCATCAATATACCTGAACAAAATTCGTGATTTAATGTCGTTAACGAAAATGTATGATTATATATGTGATGTAATCAAGCTGGCAACAACCGGAGACACAGGGAATTTCATTGCTACTGCGATTGTTTGCTTGTATAATGTCCCATCAAAAGTAAATACGGTTAAAGTTAAACAGTCTTAGGGATTTCATCATTAGACTGATGTTATTATAAACATAGCTCACATCTTATGTATGTAATTCTATGTTCTAGTTTGTGAAATATTTCATTTGAACAAAGTGACTTTACAACAATATAATAGTATAGTATTCTTAAACAATCTGTTCAGAAAGTATCACTGTAGTGAATGAGAACACCAGTGGAGACAATCGAATGTATTTGTCACAAAATTACAGAGCATCTCAATAAAATCCGAGAATTATATGGTATATCGTTAATTTGCAAAATATCAATCCATCATACCAAACTTGACTGTTCCTGTTGCAAACATCAATCCATTATCTCAGATTTTATTGTTCATGCATTTCCATGCCAATTGCGTTCCGTCGCCGTTCTTTCCTCATCGACCTTTACTGAAATATATTCTATACCTGACCATCGTTATATACTACTTGTGTGGATATAAGTAATCCACACCACACTACTACTAAATGATATATCAATAAAAATAAAAAATCAGTAAACTTTCATATATTTTATATTTGTATCCAATCTAACTATCTATTATAACATCTTCTTATCAAATTTTACTTTTAGATTCCAATAGTCTACGATCAACCCGTAGTACTTACGAAGATAAACAAGAAACCTCTTCATCTACATCAAACTATTTTAAACAATCATATTTAGATAAAGCTATGAAATTTATACCTTATCAGAATAATATGATCTCTATAAACAATGATCATTATGACAGAAACGTCAACAATGTAAAGAAACCTTTGAAAAAATCAAATTTGATTATTATAAACCCAACAACAAAAACAACAACAACAACAACAACAACTATTCATTCATCAATGTTAATTAAATCAAATGAATTTATGAATAATTCAATACATCCACATCTATCACAATTAGTTTATTATGAATTAGTAAATGAGAAATTATTTTGTAATTCAAATCCATTTTATCATATATTAGGTACAAAAGGTCGATTATGTAATTCATCATCAATTCATATGAATAATTGTCATCATTTATGTTGTGGTCGTGGTTATATAACACATCATTATTATATAATGGAATCATGTAATTGTAAATTTATATGGTGTTGTCGTGTTGAATGTCAACAATGTTTAGTTTTAAAAAAAGTAGAAACTTGTATTTAATATAAAATAATGATACTACTTATAATAACTTACTATATCTATGATAGATTAAGACTTTTAAATAATATACAATAAATTAGATTATATCATAAATTTAAAAGAAGTAAATATTTGAATTGAATGAATTCATTGAATTTATACCTACCTCGAAAATATAATTTACATGATTCAATTAACAATATTTGTAGGTCATTTTGATAAATTGTTTTTGTTTTACTTTGTTCTATTTAATATATACACATATCTTCACTGTTATTATTATTATTATTATTATTATTATTATTATTATTATTATTACTGTAGTTTATGATGAATGTATTTGGCTTGTGTATGCGGTAAATCTCCAATTGTCATTATTCATAATTGATCACTTTCAATGAGAATCATATATATATATATATATATATATATATATATATATATATATATATATATATCATTGTTTTCTTCTCTCTTTTTTTGTTTTGTATTAAGCACCATGATTTATTTGTCATGCACAGTATTAAATAAGAAATTTTCTGGGTTTTTTAAATATTAAATAAGTGATCGGCACACATATAAATATATTTATCATGATGTCTTTTGTTTTGGTTTCTTTTTTTAATTTGAATTATGCAATTAAAATTAATTTTTGATCGAGATCATGAACCGATTAATGTTAGACCAACATTGAAAACATGGAAGCACTGGACGGCCGTTTCGTCCTATTGTGAAACTCCTCAGCAGTGCGCATCCATGATCCCGCTCGTGGGATTCAAACCCAGGGCCTTCAGCCTCGCGCACGAACGCTTAACATAATGAACCTTGAGTTGGAATCCCTCAAGCGGGATCGTGGATGCGCACTGCTGAGGAGTTTCACAATAGGACGAAACGGCCGTCCAGCGCTTCCATGTTTTCAATGTTGGTCTAACATCAATCGGTTCACGACCACAATCAAAAACTTAATAATCTCCACGACCTCTATACTGATAAAAATAAATTTATCTAATATGTAGATAGATCAGCATGGAAAATTTGGAAGTAATGGATGATTGTTTCGTCTTATTTTGGGACTACTCAGATATCTATCTATCTGTTTAATTTTTTAATGATGAAATAATTTTAACCATAAACTGAAATTATATGGAAAATTTAATGGATATTAGAGAGTTAGTGTATATAATGCTTATAATGCTTGTGAATTAAGGCAATATCGATGTAATATACACAGTATGCACATATGCCAATAAGAGACTGATCAATTGCAATCCTAAACATCGATGGAAAAATACAAACTAACAATACCAAGTGAATTTGAACTTCACTTGATTGCACAAGCTAGTGACTATCAGGTCTCAGAAATGAAGTGGATAACGCGATGGCGTTTAAAGTGAGAGGTATTGGGTATAAATCCTAGAGTGAAATTCAGCTCAGAGATGCAGGTACATCCAGCTGACGAGTCCCAAATAGGACGAAACGCACGTCAAACTAGATTCCACTGCTAGCTTTTATCCATCTTTGTTTGTAATGTATGATTGTTTAGTTTTAGTTTATGATGAGCATCTACTAGCACAACCTGAACCTATGTGACCAAATATACATGTGAAATTTTACTATTAATTGTTTTCAGTAGTCACTAAGGATAAGCAGTTATTTTTGTAAAATGGACATATCACAAAAACATCATTAATAAATAATTATAGTAACGATGGCAATTCAGTTTATGCTTTTCTAGACAATCAATGTTTATTCTCGTCCTCACAGTTTAATAGCTAAGTTGTTGCTGTCACTATTACATTAGTAACCATTGTCCTGCAAATTGTGATCATAGTCAAGTGATTTTGATACACTTTTTAGCCTAAGTTAATCTTTGAAGATGATAAAGACAATCTTTACACAGACATTGTACATTTTGTGTTATAGTGTTACATTTCAACACTTCACTACTTTGTCACCAACCGACTGGTTCTGGGCATTAGTCAAATGATCCTGAGGTGATTAAGTAATAAGCTGCTAATTTATTTATTCCACAGTTTATACACTTTACTAAAAGCCATAGTTCCTTCTAAATGTTATTGAAACTTTTTTATTTTTGAAATCCCGTTTATGTTTTGTATCCCAACTGTTACTTACTTTTAGTGCTGTTCTGAAGAATGCATTATATTAAAGAACATGCTCATCAATGTTGATTCGATTGGTGACAGATATCCTGCCATTGTCATGTTTGTCTAGTCTTTAGTGCAAACCTAATATCAATACATAAGGTCGAGTCACTTAAACTAATAACCAAATTGCAGCTTGGTCAGTAGGATTCGACTAACACAGAGGACTAAACAAAATGGCGTTGGTTACACTCTAGTGATCAGTATACTTATGTAGAATGATTATTTAGAAAACCAATCATAATTTGTTTAAGATTATTGTTTGCCAATTGAACTTTGATAGATTACAGACATTTGGGAATTTCATTTCTCCATTTCTAATGGATTGTAAATCAGGTTACTTAGTATATTTTAAGTTTTGGTACCATCATTCGGTTGGGAAAAAACTAACCACTTTAGGGAATCATAGTATACTGTTTTATAAGTTAATCAAATGTTCCAAAACGGATAAAATACAGTCACAAGTTGATTTACATAGCAAATTAGTGCTTGGTACATGTACAAATTTCAATCCAATGATAAAATACTTTTCAACTTCATCTGGTTAGTTCAATCCCAAGTTGTTCCCCAAAATAATTCAATTACCTAGCACCTTCGACCTGAATGACGATTGTAAGGCTTCTGAATATTTTAAGATTCATCTTAGTTTATATTAATATCTAATACAACGTATAATATAGCACCTTTTCATTCGGCTTTTATTCAACAACTCTTTCATTTATTACAATGATGCAGTAGTTACTAACAAATAATATACTGATAGTGAATCATTTTGATCATCAAATAAATTTGATATGAACAGAGAAACAAAAAGCCTTGACAAACTACGGAAGCTATTTTTCGGGATGTTATTTCATTTAATATAAAGCTTGTAAAACAATAACATTTATTTTTGTCCATAGTCTATTTTACAGATTATTTGCTTTCGTTTGATGTATGATTCACTGCCATTGCCCTTTCTGTTCCAAAGCTATTGTAATTTAGATGCAATCTTTTGTACTATATATTTTACTCTAAATCCCAGATTTGGACAATTGTATTTTCCTAATTGTTTGTGAGTTGTGGTCTTGTTAGTCATCTATTTATTCATGTATCTTTTTATACTAGTCTGAAATCGGGGACCAGATCGGAATTGGGAATAAATCGTGTGATGTTCCAATTGACGTGTCTTCTCTCACTCGCGTGCCTATCAGCTAGTTAGGTGATAGAATAGTTTTCGTCTCTCTATTCCAAGCAGTTAGTCTCACTTAGAACTCACGCATACTATCCCTCAAGGTTAAGCCAGTCAGCCTATCGCGTTAAGGTCTTAATCTAGACTAAACAAGTTATCCTCTACACAAAAGTAAGTAGATATATCACGGACGTACAAAATTCATATAGATAATTAGTGTTATAAGCAAATATACGATCTTTACTAATTGTTTCCAACTCGATTAGGATCCTGTCGAAAACCCATTTGAATGTTTAATTGTAGATTTCTTATAGAAGTAACATCTGATAGTGATTAGGGGGTTGATTATGTTGTAACATAACCCAAACCTGAAAAAATACCAAGGCCTATAATAATATTTTGATTTATTTAGTAATAAAAATCTCAGTAAAAATTTTGATTATTTTTCTACCTCTGATAGTGACGTCATTAGTTATTTATTTTGAAAAACTAAATTATCCCCTGAGTAAAAACACACCTTGTTCATTTCTCTGTAAGTTGAATGACGACATACTTTTCTTGCATGTCTGAGCACAGCTCAATGAATTCGGGTTGATCTATTTCTCTAGTCGGCTTGAAGTATATGGCTTCACAACACATTTTTTGATTCTGACTCTTTGTTAAACACTGTTTACACTAGGTGGATCAACAGTGTCTGAATCATGAAATAGTATAATATTATTTGGGACGATTTATCTTTATAGCCATAGTTAATTGGTAAGCACCTCAACATATTGAACTAACCGAAATTACTCAGTCAATGTATTAGTAATGAGGTAGAATATTAAAATGCTAAATGTTAGGAGTTGTTTTTCGAGAAATCAGTGTTGATATCTTCCAATGTATATTTATAAAATAGTTGACTCATAGCATTTTTATATTATCCCAATTATCATGAGTTTTCATTTGACTTGTCAGCTGATGCGACATCGTTTCCCAGTTCACAAATTAGTTGATTAATCACAAGCACATTAGTCAGTTTGATATCATGCAAGTCCCACTTATTTACTTATTAAGACCTAAAACTTGTGTATTTTTGAGTTTGAATATCAAAAATATAAAAAGGGACTCGGATAGCTTTTCTCGGATTCTGATTAATGGTTTTAGAATAGATGGATTTCGCTTGAACAGACGATTGATAGCTAATATGACGTCTAACTTAGTCGACTTGTTCATAGAACAATACCACAAGCCGTTTGAAAATTTATTCTACTGAGATAAATTGTTTATATCTCTTATAGCCTGAATTAGTTTTTCTTGTCTTACGTTACCACCTTAACAGTTCTAGAAATGAGTGTTAACTACTTGTTTACTAGATATTTAAGTACTATTCAGTAAGCCGATTTCTTGACTATTAAGGAAATCAGCATAAAACAAACGGCTGTCCCAGTATCATGTATTTCTGATATAGTTAAATGCATGTTAACTTCATTACGGGCTTTAACAAACTAATTGACTTCCCTGTGCTAGCTTCCCATTAGTTTGGTGCGGTTCCAGGTCTTCGGTGATGTTTAGTGAATGGTGGTTAAGCCACTTGACTTCACTAGTTCAAATCAGTCTGAAAAATGGTTGTTGGTTTGCATATCTTGTAGTTTAAATGAGTGAGTGTCTCAAGGCAGTATGGTTTCTGGAATCAATAGCTGTCACAT